AACTCTAGTCTAGACATAGATGGTCTCAGTACTGACCTGTATGGCTTCACGTCACTATGCTGCATCATGTGTCTCTTCAGGTGGCTGGTCTGGGTGAAGGCCTTGTGGCACACCTGGCACTTGTGTGGCCGTGTGCCCTGGTGGGTGAGCAGGTGAGTGTGCAGGTGGCTCAGCTGCTTGAACCGATTCCCACACAGATGACAGCCGTGAGGCTTGATCCCGCTGTGGCCCAGGATGTGTGTGACCAGGTTATACTTCGATGTGTACGACTTCTCACACATACGGCACTTCCAACGCTTCTGATCTCCTCCTATATCTACGTGGTAGCTGTCGTCAATGTGGATATTGAGACCCAGCTTCTCAGTGCTGGTCATCCCACCTCGGGGGCATCCGTCTGGGCTGCGCCGACTAGGTCTGAGTGCCTCTCTGGGGTAGAAGGCTCCAGGAGAGAGGTGCATGATGGGCCCAGGCATGAAGAAGGGGAAGGGGAGGAGGCTGGGGTGGATAAGGGGGAAGAACGGGGGAGGAGGGTGGTGGCGGAGGAGAGGAGAGGGTGGCCACACAGGTGAGGGGCTGAGTGGTTCCTGTTTCACCTGAAACGGGAGGCCCATAGGTGGCTCATATCTGGACAGAGCCCTGTGGTGCAGCTGGAGATGGCTCAGGTCGATCATATCTGGGATGGGCATGGGAGAGGGAGGGGGACGTGGGCGAGGAGGGAGGGAGAACGGAAGGTGGGAGAGATCAACAGTCCTGGTGTTGCCTTGACACTCCACCTCCTCCATGTCTCCTGTAGGGGATTCGGAACCCTCAATTGTTTGTGGAGTTCTTTTGCATTTTTGGGAGCCTTCCCTCTGGGTGTAATGCATGCCCTCAGAGCCCAGGGGGCGATGGTGAGTCAGGGGGCTGTAGGCCTCTCTGGTCGGGACGAGGAAGAGTTTGGGCGGGTTCAGGTAGAGTGGAGGTGGGCTCAGATAAAGACTGTGGTGAGAGACAGGTCTCAGGTCTTCCCTATGAGGACTCCTCCTGTCTGATCTGAAACCTATAATGTCTGTGTCCATCATTTACCTGCATGGGGAAATATACAGAGGAAATCTGTTATTTATGTCAACCATTACAATATGATTACCATAAGCATGCTTCTCCAACACCTGAGGAAGAGAAACAGTCCTTCTTTTGGAGTTACCTACCTACTGCACAGGTAGCCGTGACAACACTAATCACTGTCCTCTCTGTTACACCTTTATAGCCTGTCACTTCTCGCTTCTGTACTGCCATCCCTTCTTCCTCTACCATCCATCCCTCTGAAACAGGAACTAACATTCACTTCTCCCCTCTCTCTGCTTTGTTCATCTTTTTGCATGGATGGGTGGAAGGGTGCCCATCTCCTTTTGTCCTCCACTACGACTCTGTGTTAGATCTCTTACTGTGCTCTAAAGAAGCACAGGTTCCAAACAAATGGACCACTTTGTAGATCTGCGTACTCTACTTAAGAAGAGCCAACCAACTACATCCACTATAGAGTAGCCTGTGAATGATTAGATTCATATTGGCATTTTTGTAGTTATGAGCTGAATACAGTTGGTGGGAGGGACACAGGAGATTAGATGTGATAGAGGGAATCATAAAATCAAACAGTGAAGTGTTTAACTTCTGCAGTTCGGCTAAAAGAGGATGAGACAATACTGTTAGTAGCCCTTTCCTGCAGTCAATGACCAAAAGCGCATTCATATTTTTCATAATTACATAATTAATCAAGTTTTTTTTTTTTACAACGAAGATCCTGTGTTTCAATGTCAAATAAAGTGTAATATTGGAATGCAAACTCAAAATTGAATACATTTCACCTCTATATCTGTCATTGCACAGGTGTCTTCTTTTTCTAAAGCCCATACCCATGTGTATGAGGTGTATACTTTTGCTTCAAAGTAGATTTGTTTAAGACTACAAAGAATCACTCTGTGTGACCCTGATTTTGCCCACTGCTGTAAAAGGTTAATTAATAATGATGCCAGTTATGTAAATACAGTGTGGGTGACATTTCTCTGAACTGCTATCGTTCTACAGAGCAAACCAGTGAGAACTTCCAATGTTGATAGGGATTGGGATGGTGATGGTCATCATAAAGGATAAAGATTAGGTCACAATTAAATTCTTGTTAATAAAAATACACTTAACAAATGGGCTACTCTAAGCTTCAATTTGTTATTGCATTCACAGTGTGAAAAGAATATCATGATGTAAAGAATACGATATAAAAATATTAAGATATTATGAAAACATGTACAGTAACCTGTTAAATCAAATGTTTCCTCACATGCACACAGATGACAACCAGATATCAAGGCATATTCAAACAATTTCTCTATGATTTTGATGAATCACCTCAAATACTTTCACTCCGTTACTCTGCTCCACACATAGCACTATCAGACACAAGTACTTACAATATCTCTATTTAGGGACTACACACACTTTCTCAAACATTTTTTAAATGCTAAATGTTTCTCCAGAACCATGCCCCTACTGTCTATTCTACACAGAACATGGTGCAGTATTGTGGTCCTCTGTAGCTCAATTGGTAGAGCATGGCGCTTGTAACGCCAGGGTAGTGGGTTCGATCCCCGGGACCACCCATACGTAAAAATGTATGCACGCATGACTGTAAGTCGCTTTGGATAAAAGTGTCTGCTAAATGGCATATTATTATTATTGAAAGACCCCTCTGTGTCTTTCTCTCTCTGTCTGTCTGCCCTGCCAGTGTGTATCCCCAGTGAATACAATACAACATAGCTCACACATTAAAACAGAAGCCCCTCCTGTCATCCCATGCCCTGTTAGTCCTCAGCTGGACCTGAGACACTCACCAGCTCAGTGTAGCTCAGTGTAGGCTCAACCTCTCTGTCCTCTGTACTGTGGCAGAAGTGCAGTAGCTGTGTGTTAGGCTGGATACTAGCTCCTGTACCGATCTCTCTGGCCTGCTGCTGTCCTGACAATGAGCCACCCGTCCACGGACAACATTTGAAGTGACTTAAGAAAGAGAACAGGAACAATCGCTTTGTTCTCATTTTTCAGATGAGTACCTTCGGAGAGAAGGAAGGAAGGGAGGGGAGAGGAAGTCAACAAGCCTAGTGCCTTCCTGCTGAAAAATAAGGAAACACTAGATAGACATCTTCATTTCTCTACAAAATAAGGATTTACACAGCTTTCAGAGAGACTGGATGAGGCTTGTTTTAAACAATTGAATAGTAGTACAATGCTGATTGAATATTGTACGTTAGTAAACAGGCATGCAAGTCTAGGAGAGGAGTTGCAGACTGCCAACACCAACAGTTCTGGGAATCACTTTCACAATCCTGCTTTTTCCATCCTTCAGATTACCACCCACATGCTAGATTCACACTGGTTAAACATTATAACACTGTATGTATCTATAAAGTTAGTAAGTGCAATAATGGATTCAGGATATGTGGAAAAATTTGGTGCTGGAAAGACAATTATGCATAGATTATTTAATTGGCCAATTAGGAACCACCACAGAAAGGTAATGCATATGTTGTCTTGTGAAGCTGGTGTATGCTCTGTGAATGCTCATGCTTATGTTATAAAGTTTAAGTGTCTTGATGACATGACTTCAGTATTCCAAGTCATTTAGACACACATCTAAATCAAAGTGAAGGATTGAGTTGGCTCATGTAGGACAGTGTAACATGTAGTGAATCAATACAGCAACATGGGGGAAGGAGAACCCCACTGCACCATGAGAGGAGAGCTCAGTTGTTGGCCAAATTATGTCTGACTGGTAGTTTGCTAGGTCACAGAGCAGCAACACTATGGGCCATTTCAAATACTCTTTAAAAGTGATGAAGGGCGCATATACAACATATTTGAACTGGGCCATCATTGATCTCTCAGTCAGGCCTATACACAAGCAAATAGACACGTTCCTGGCAGCAACACCAAGCCTTTTCTTGTCTTACCTCACAGTGACTCTTCATAGTGGGTACTGACTCTGAAAGGTTGAAAACTGTGATGTCACATAAATCTTATGACACGTGTATATACTGATCATCTGATGTAAACTCTTCCCCCATAATTTAACAGATATATTGACCCTGCCTTTCTCCATCAATACAGGATTACTAATCCGGAAGGCACTAATTGAGCTCATCTCATTCGAAGAGTGAAAGTCTCTAATAGGAAGTCGATTAGCATTGTCTGTGTTAATGGACTCATTAAATAAATTAACCTAAGACCTCGACAATGTGTACTAATTGCTATGAGGTATTAGAAAGTTTATTAAGGTAACATATCAGGTATATTGTGCATGTGTGTGTGTGTGTGTGTGCTTGTGTGTGTTCTTGTGTGCCAATGTGTGTAGACATCAGCTCCAAGTGATTTTAATGTAATAAATCTGTTTCAAGTATTCCCACGCATAATAGAGAGACACATGATCATATACAAATGTAAGCAAGGTTTGAAATGATTACTTTTTAGTCAAACCTTATATCTGTTTGGGCTTCTTGCGGTCAATTTTCAGTCTACAAATTATTTGTAATTTTGTTCCGGCCACCGACCATCCGCTCCAGAAAAAATCGGCCCACGACTGAATCTAGTCGATGATCGATGCCCTAGTGTATAATCTCAATATGTACAAATATGTCCAAATAGGTCTTCTTATCCCATCACTTTATGATACTGTTTTCCCAATCCTTGATCTGGAACCAATCTATAGGATGTAGCCAACAAGTCTGTTAGATAGTTAGCTAACACTGAAAAACACTGCTCTACAGTAATTGCCTCACAATCACCATCTCATCTCGTCATCTCTCTAAAAAGGTAATTGATCATAGGTCCAGGTTCAACACCTCCCCCCATCTCCATCTACATACAAAACACTTTCCGTCTGTCTCATTCTTCCAACCCATCTCCTCTTTCACATGCATGGTCACGGACACAGGCCCTCCTCTAATGACTGTCTCTATGGCTGAGGTCGCACCAGGCCACTGTATGACTGCACTACCGGCCAGGCATCTGCCAAGCCCAGCCCAAGCCCAACCCTAAGTGGATGTCAGGGGTCCTTGTCACTCCCTGGGAGAGAGAAGAGAGGGTATTTAAGAGGTCTGGGTGCTACTGAAGATACAGAAGAACTTCAACATTCACCTGGGAGTCACTCCGAACCGAACAAACACAACTTGTACTTTATTCCTCTTCTCTCAGTAGAGATGACTGGAGCCGCTGTGTCCTTGTGTCTACTCTTCCTCCTGTCTGTCTGTTCAGCCTGCTAGATCTCCAACTGTCCCATCGGGGGCAAAAGATCCATCATGGACGCTCCACAATGCAAGGTGAACCGCAACTGGATCTGTCTAGAATCTAGATCTAGACTATTTAAATATAATATGTATTGTAAATAACAGGTATGATTTATCTTAGAGATGCATCAAGAGGAGTAGGAGTGAGGCTCTGTAGAAGTACTGAAAGTGAGGCTCTGTAGAAGTACTGAATTCTGAAGAAACTGCTTTTCTGAGATTTGACAATGCACCGTTACCTTCCCCGTGAAAAAAGGGAGAAAGAATGTTGATAAGAATCTATTTTTTTGAATGATGGTACGACTTAATACCCGACTGTCCCTTCTCTCCCCCTGCAGTGCATGTCATGTGGGCCAGGGGAGCAGGGCCGCTTCTTCGGCCCCAGTATCTGCTGTGGGAAGGGGCTGCTGGATGGGCCCCCCAGAGACAGCACGCTGCATGGAGGAGAAGTACCTGCCCACCCCCTGCCAGGCAGGAGGGAGACCCTGTGGATCTGAAGCAGGACGCTGCGCCGCACCAGGAATCTGCTGTGACTCAGGTAAAGAAACTTCAATGTCATGTTTCTGGGATGATCTCTATGCTTACACATTTACATTTATCAGACGCTCTTATCCAGAGCAACTTACAGTTAAGTGAGTGCATACATTTTCATACTGACCCCCTGTGGGAATCAAACCCACAACCCTGGTGTTGCAAACGCCATGCTCTACCAACTGAGCTACATCCCTGCCGGCCATGCCCTCCCCTACCCTGGACGACGCTGGCTAATTGTGCGCCACCCCATGGGTCTCCCAGTCAAGGCCGGCTACGACAGAGTCTGGATTCAAACCAGGATCTCTATTGGCACAGCTAGCACTGCGATGCAGTGCCTTAGACCACTGCGCCACTCGGGAGACTTATACTACTGGTTCTAATAGAGTGGTGGATAAAATCAGCCAATCAGAGGGCAGTGATTTCGATGACGTCATCCTCAGGCTCCTGCACTTGGCTGGCCACACCCCTCCTCATCGAGTCCACCAATGAGCTGCCAGTGATGCCAGGGTTCCATGGGGGACTTTTGAGAGATTGGCTGTTAGGAGTTGTAGTTCAAAGTAACCCAGTTGTAGTTCATTGATCAATCCATCTACAGTGCCTTGCATAAGTATTCATCCCCCTTGGCGTTTTTTCTATTTTGTTGCATTACAACCTGTAATTTAAATGGATTTTTATTTGATTTCTTGTAATGGACATATACAAAATAGTCCAAATTGGTGAAGTGAAATTAATTTTCAAAAAATTCTAAAACACACCTAACGGAAAAGTGGTGCGTGCGTATGTATTCACCCCCTTTGCTATGAAGCCCCTAAATGAAATCTGGTTCAACCAATTACCTTCAGAATACACATAATTAGTTAAATAAAGTCCACCTGTGTGCAATCTAAGTGTCACATGATCTGTCACATGAACTCAGTATATATACACCTGTTCTGAAAGGCCCCAGAGTCTGCAACACCACTAAGCAAAGGGCACCACCAAGCAAGCGGCACCATGAAGACCAAGGAGCTCTCCAAACTGGTCAGGGACAAAGTTGTGGAGAAGTACAGATCAGGTTTGGGTTATAAAAAAATATCAGAAACTTTTAACATCCCACGGAGCACCATTAAATCCATTATTAAAAAATGGAAAGAATATGGCACCACAACAAACCTGCCAAGAGAGGGCCACCCACCAAAACCCATGGACCAGGCAAGAAGGGAATTAATCAGAGGCAACAAAGAGACCAAAGATAACCCTGAAGGAGCTGCAAAGCTCCACAGCGGAGATTGGAGTATCTGTCCATAGGACCACTTTAAGGCATACAGTCCACAGAGCTGGGCCTTACGGAAGAGTGGCCAGAAAAAAGCCATTGCTTAAAGAAAAAAATAAGCAAACACGTTTGGTATTTGCCAAAAGGCATGTGGGAGACTCCCCAAACATATGGAAGAAGGTACTCTGGTCAGATTAGACTAAAATTGAGCTTTTTGGCCATCAAGGAAAATGCTATGTCTGGCGCAAACCCAACACCTCTCATCACCCCGAGAACCCCATCCCCACGGTGAAGCATGGTAGTGGCAGCATCATGCTGCGAGGGTGTTTTTCATCGGCAGGAACTGGGAAACTGTTCAGAATTGCAGGAATGATGGATAGCGCTAAATACAGGGAAATTCTTGAGGGAAACCTGTTTCAGTCTTCCAGAGATTTGAGACTGGGACGGAGGTTCACCTTCCAGCAGGACAATGACCCTAAGCATACTGCTAATGCAACACTTGAGTGGTTTAAGGGGAAACATTGAAATGTCTTTGAATGGCCTAGTCAAAGCCTAGACCTCAATCCAATTGAGAATCTTTGGTATGACTTAAAGATTGCTGAACACCAGCGGAACCCATCCAACTTGAAGGAGCTGCAGCAGTTTTGCCTTGAAGAATGGGCATAAATCCCAGTGGCTAGATGTGCCAAGCATATAGAGACATACTCCAAGATACTTGCAGCTGTAATTGCTGCAAAAGGTGGGTCTACAAAGTATTGACTTTGTGGGGGGTAAATAGTTATGCACGCTCAAGTTTTCTGTGTTTTTTGTCTTATTTCTTGTTTGTTTCACAATAAAAAACATTTTTCATCTTCAAAGTGGTAGGCATGTTGTGTAAATCAAATGATACAAACCCCCCAAAAATCCATTTTAATTCCAGGTTGTACGGCAACAAAATAGGAAAAATGCCAAGTGGGGTGAAAACTTTCACAAGCCACTGTATTTCATCTACCCACCCATTTACTGGCCTCCTTCTTCAGTACATAGGCAACCTCACTGGATGGGACCCTGAGCACTCCTCTGTAGATTGCCTTTGTATTGCATACTAATATATTTTATGTACTGTATGTATAGAAATAGCTACATGACTTAGGACTTGGTGGCAAAACCCTTGTTGGCAATCACAGAGGTCAGACGTTTCTTGTAGTTGGCCACCAGGATTGCACACATCTCAGGAGGGATTTTGTCCCACTGCTCTTTGCAGATCTTCTCCAAGTCATTAAGGTTTCGAGGCTGATGTTTGGCAACTTGAACCTTTAGCTCCCTCCACAGATTCTCCACAGATGTGCTGCTTCTTGAGCCACTCCTTTGTTGCCTTGGCCGTGTGTTTTGGGTCATTGTCATGCTGGAATACCCATCCACGACCCATTTTCAATGCCCTGGCTGAGGGAAGGAGGTTCCCACCCAAGATTTGACGGTACATGGCCCCATCCATCGTCCCTTTGATGCGGTGAAGTTGTCCTGTCCTCTTAGCAGAAAAACACCCCCAAAGCATAATGTTTCCACCTCCATGTTTGACGGTGGGGATGGTGTTCTTGGGATCATGGGAAGCATTCCTCCTCCTCCAAACACGGCGAGTTGAGTTGATGCCAAAGAGCTCGATTTTGGTCTCATCTGACCACAACACTTTCACCCAGTTCTCCTCTGAATCATTCAGATGTTCATTGGCAAACTTCAGACGGCCCTGTATATGTGCTTTCTTGAGCAGGGGGACCTTGCAGGCGCTGCAGGATTTCAGTCCTTCATGGTGTAGTGTGTTACCAATTGTTTTCTTGGTGACTATGGTCTCAGCTGCCTTGAGATCATTGACAAGATCTTCCCATGTAGTTCTGGGCTGATTCCTCACCGTTCTCATGATCATTGCAACTCCACGAGGTGAGATCTTGCATGGAGCCCCAGGCCGAGGGAGATTGACAGTTATTTTGTGTTTCTTCCATTTGCGAATGATCGCACCAACTGTTGTCATCTTCTCACCAAGCTGCTTGGCGATGGTCTTTTAGCCCATTCCAGCCTTGTGTAGGTCTACAATCTTGTCCCTGACATCCTTGGAGAGCTCTTTGGTCTTGGCCATGGTGGAGAGTTTGGAATCTGATTGATTCATTGCTTCTGTGGACAGGTGTCTTTTATACAGGTAACAAACTGAGATTAGGAGCACTCCCTTTAAGAGTGTGCTCCTAATCTCAGCTCGTTACCTGTCTAAAAGACACCTGGGAGCCAGAAATCTTTCTGATTGAGAGGGTGTCAAATACATATTTTTCCTCATTAAAATGCAAATCAATTTATAACTTTTTTGACATGTGTTTTTCTGGATATTTTTTGTTGTTTTTCTGTCTCTCACTGTTCAAATAAACCTACCATTAAAATTATAGACTGATAATTTCTCTGTCAGTGGGCAAACGTACAAAATCAGCAGGGGATCAAATACTTTTTTCCCTCACTGTATGATTATTCTTACAAGTGTAAAGATTCCAAATGTGTATTTTAATGAAGCTTGTGAGAGTATGCATTGTTTAGGTATTTTTCTTTCTCAGCTAACTCAAATTACCAGTTGTTCAACATCTACATCTGAAACATGAAATGAGTGGCTAAGTGCTGTGCATAATGTAGTTCTCATATTTACTGTAATATTAGGCTTAGCATTTAGGCCAGCACAAAGTTTTGGTAAGTCACTACAATGGACCATGAAAAATCCTGTGCTTTGTAGAGCAGTATCTGTTTTATGGAGTTTATAATAATAACATAATATAATAATAATAATAATAATAATAATAATATAATAATATATAATAATATATAATAATAATATATAGTAATATAATACTAATAATATAATATATGTAAGAATAATAATAATATAAAGAAATATATATAATAATAATAATATAATAATATATATATATATAATAATTAGTAAAACGATTTAGTAAACTTAAATAAAATAACTAACAAACCCGTTTGAAAAACTAAAACTATACTGAAACTATTATCTTTGACTCCAAAACTAACTAAAATAGACTTATGTTTATTTTTGTATAATTTGTTTTACTTTGGGTAACAATTTAACAGGGTTTTCAAGCTTTTGAGGGGTTTTCAAGGTACTTAAATCTGGCGGGTAATTGCGACCAAGAGATGGAGATGTTTCAAAAAGGTCTAGCTTGTGCATCACTATCACTAGCTTTCACTAGCTAACAGGGAAAAAAACGTCTAGGTATCGAACTTGATTATTCTTCCACGTACTACTAAAGCTAAAAATCATTGGATTGGTGAAACATGGTCGAGAGAGAGTTTCCATCCACCATATTTTCTGCATCAGTCTTGACGCTATTCCTTTTAAATCCAAGTCACATTGAGATTTACTTAATAATTTAAACCTAACCTGAGCTCTTGAGAACCCAAGGCCATACAGCCATAGGGTTCTCATTTGAACAATTGACCACATCTGTCCCGACACTGTCTAACCATTAATAATCAGCTTGTGCAATGTGGTTTTGGAAACCGCCGAAATTCTACTTTCATAATGATTTACAAATACAAAAGATACACATACTCAGTGGAAATCGGTGGTTAAACAGCTAATAGTAAGTATATAATTTGTATTTGTAAGGTTATTTTTGAATGATAATTCACCTCTAAAAGTCTCAATCCCATGATTTGATAAAATATTGAATTTGGCCTTTACTACTATAGCCCATAGAAACGCA